CCCCAAAGGGAGCCACATTAGGGCCCTCCAGGGGCCAAATTAGAGGCAGCTAACCAAGTTAGAGCACGACAGCAGAGGGGGTCTGACTGGCAGGGATGGACTGATTTCACTCCAGCCCCCTGAACTAAAAGAAGCACACACACACACACACACCTCTCTTTGTTTTGCCGCTGATCAGCAAAAGATAAAAGCCAGTTCCTGACAAAAGCAGCCTCTCTGTTATGGAGTCTACAGGGAGATCCTGACAGAGAGAGAGCTATAATGTATTCCTGTAGGTCAGCTGGGATTAGTGCGTCTGCATCAGTGGGATAAGATTTAAACTCATTTAGCTCCTAAAATAGAAGATCATTTCCATTAAATCTTGTTCTGCTTTTTGTCCATAAATTATGAACTTACAGGAAAAGTTCCTCCGATCTTGACTTTTGGAGTCATACGTATAGATCTGAGCAAAGGTTTGAGCTAACTGATGGAAATAAAGCATAAAATTAAAAAAATCACAGCGAAACAGAGATTTCTTGCTTTTTCATCTTTGCCTTGGCAGAGAGCTTCAGCATGATCAATTCACCCTCTACTTTGATTAGGTTATAACTCAAAGGGGATTGAAGCTGTAATAAAACTAATTAAACAGGTTTCAACAGTCTGTTAGTCTTCTATATGGTAACAGCAGTGTGTTCATCCACAGAAATCTGTTCAAAGAGACTGAAACTGGAAATTTAACCATTCCATTTTTATTCCCTCCTCACAGATGAAGCAAAATGCAGATCAATTCCTCTCACAGAAATGTTTTGCTGGTTTTTGAAGTCATCATATACGCATTTTCATAGATACATTAAAGTGGGTAAAAGATTTCCATTCTGGTCACCAGATTGATAACAGGTGGAAAAGAAATCAGTGTACCCCTACTTGTGTGTGATTGGCGTGCTGACTGGCACAGATTCAACAAAGGTCCCCAGCTTCCTGTTATATGTCACACACACACACATACATATATATTCGGTGCTGGTGACATTTGCGAAGTCTCACAGTGGATGATCATAAATCTCAGTTTTACGAGGGACTTTTGCTGAACCCAGCAGACCGCTGACCGCATCGTCTTGACATTCAAGACTATGCTGCAAAATATTCACCCTGGGGTTCAAACTCACTGGAAGCCCTGATTGATTTGCCTCATGAGGGCAGTGAAAGTCGCTTACTGTTAGGGGTCAGGCTCGCTTCTGTTTATGAAAGTCTTTCCTCATTACCATCATGACAAGAGGAGATTGGGCAGATTTCAGTGTTTGCCTAAACAATACATAAAGAATGCTAAACAGTTCCCGTATTTCACTTTTCTTTTACACCTTTTCAAACCAGAAACATGCATCATAAATGTAAATGCTAGTTTAAGGCTGAGCAAACATGCTTGAAAATTGACCGTTGATTTTTGTTTAGTGAAAAGGGAGAGAGGGAATAAAGGCCTCAGATTCAGAATTGTCCTGGCTGGAATCCAATCAGGTCATTAGGAGCAGGTGGAGCCAGAGCAAAGTTCCCATATCTGACTGCTGGTTGACAGACAAAAGCAGCAGTGCTCTCTGAAAACACCAAAAAAAAACAACTCAGGTTTTTAATGTGAAAAGTTATAATGGGGTTCAGAGTGGCTGCTTTCTTTGGGTTTGTGCTTTTCCTCTCATGTGGAAATCTTTGCTCCGCAGCACAAATCCACTCAGTCTTGATCACCAATGAGACTCTCCACCAGGTCAGCCAGAACCAAGTGAAGACAAGCTCAGAGCAAACGGCTCTCAACCAGACTGAGCAAAGCCACCTGGTCCGCTCTCCTGTCACCTCCCAGCTCAGGACTTACCATCTGAGGAAACCCGCTGACAGACCAAAAGCTCTGCTCCGTGTTGAGGGGCACAAACTGCAGAGGGCCCAGGCCAGAGGGCTACACTCCGAGCTAAAGGAATCCACCCAAGCACAAGAGGTGTTGCAGAGTCGAGCTCAAGATCCTCATTTGCCTGTCGAGAAGGAATCAAAGGTGGCTTAAAACGATTCTCACCCTTATTTTGATCCACACAGCGTATGTTGTATGTAAATCAATGGCGCTGATCTTCTAGGTGCTGGTGAAGGTTAAGCAGCAGGTGCCAGTGCCAGCAGAGAGCGTGTTGGCACGCTGTGGAGAGAAAAAGGTCACCATAGCGGTCAATCAGGACTTTCTAGGTAATGGCTGACTGGCAAGTGTTTGTATTGATCAGTTGTGTGTGTGTGTTTTTTTTTGTTTGTTTTTTTCCTGCATCAGCACAGCTCTTTTCTCTCCAATACCTTCTACTCTAATGGCTGCAGAAGCCCAAATTGGAACAGTGAAGATGGGACACAATGCCGATTACTGCAAATGGCTCAGACTATGGAGCTGGCAATCAATACCATGTTTCCTTGTTCCTTCACCCCAAATGCTGGCTTTCAGCACCGCATTAGGAAACCTGTGTATGTGTCCTGTGGCTGAGCCTCATGGCCACTATGAGGTGGTATTGACTGGAGGAAGAAAAAAAATGGCCAAAAGCAGGGGTCTCCAAACGCTACCGTGCTGCAAGTTTTAGATGTTTCCTTGCTTTAGAACATCTTATTTAGACTTCATCACTCTCTTAAAAAGATGGTGGCTGCACAAGTCTGCCAGCGGCACATTGATTTAAATCAGGTGTGTTGAAGCAGGAAAACATCTGAAACCTGTTGGACTTTTGACCCGCAAGGATCAGAAATGGAAACCCCCTGGCCTGAGGTTGTGGTTTGACTTTTTCCACTTTTGCTCTTAGGGAACGGTCAGCTGATCCGACCCAGTGATTTGACCTTAGGCGGATGTGCAGCAGTGGACACTGTTGACCATGTCCTGATGTTTCAGGTGGAATTGCAGAACTGCAGCAGCACAGTAATGGTGAGTGGCTTTTTTTTTGTCTTTGGGCTCATCTAATGTTTAACATTTGAAGTTGCTGTAATAATTTCTTTCGGCAGATGACAGAAGAGGCTATCATCTACACATTTACCCTGAAATACTTTCCAAAACCTGTAGGCAAGACCCCTATTTTAAAGACCAACCCTGTTGAGATGAACGTCCGGTGCCACTATCAAAGGTAAAGCCTTTGATGCCATTCTTTGTCATTACCTCTCCATGATTTAGCCTTGCGGCCAGCTTTTGTGTATCTGAGATCCTATATTGCTAACAGACTTGAATCATTTTCTATACTGCAGTGAACTGAGCCAAGTTCCTCATGCAGGAACTCTCCCTGCACATCATGCTCATACTGTATTCACCTGTTTTCTGCTCCTATGTTGAAACATTTAAATGCACATATCTGGTAAATGTAAATGAGGTCTTTTTGATTTTAGAAACAATTGAGATGACAGAGACAAAGGCTTGTAAAACTTCAGCTGTATTGGTACTGCCATGCCAGAGCTTTTTTTTTCTCCTGTGATGTACTTTACAGATTAAAGGAGCCATATTGGAAAATTTAAAGTGTCTTACAATCTACACTAATCACCTGACACTTTTTTTTTTTTTTTTTCTTTGCCAGTAAAGCTATGATCTTCTTCCTTGATGAGTCTGTCTCCAGTGAAACTGCTCTTCCTCCTGTAATTGTCCTGACAGGAGGCAGTACGTGAGCAGTGACGCCATGAGGCCGGCATGGACCACCTTTGCGTCTAAACAGCAAGCGGACCAGCGGCTGCACCTCTCCTTGCGTCTTATGACAGGTGAGGCGATGAACCTGGAGCTTATGATGTTTGAATTAACACGCTGCAGTCTTGCCGATTTTCTGCAGTGACAACGGGCACGATTGCTTTCACTTCTGGTCTTGCTTGAAGACTTTCATGTGACTATTGAGGAGCTAAACGGTAGAGAAACTTGCGTGGTCATGAGCTGAAATCGCATGCCCTGCAGGCTGCAGCTGACCCAATGCGCTCACTGGCACAATTAAGTGCTCAGTGTACAGCAGATTGTGGTTCCTAATTAATTTTGCAGATAATGTCTACACAGAAAAGTTCATTTTCAAAAGTTGTTCTAACAGACTCCCATTCCCTCTCTTCTGATTAACTTAAAACTGGATTTGCTTAATGATGTACGTAAAGTTTAAACTGCATTTTGTGGGCACAGACCCTCATTTGTTTCTTATCCAGGTTGATGATGCTGATGTGTAATTGATTTAATGCCTTATTTTCTCTTGATGTTACTGTATACCATTCTCTGCTGCGCCCCTGACCAAGTAGCTCCCTACGGCATCGTTTCAGCTTCATCTAATAAAACTGATGGCCCCGACATTGCTGCTCCAATAACCTCTTTTCTTGTGTATTTGATTAGAGGACTGGCAGTCACAGAGGCCTTCTAATGTTTACTTCCTGAGTGACGTGATGCACATGGAGGTATCTGTTCTCCAGGGTCACCACGTTCCTCTTAGGATCTTTGTGGACAGTTGTGTGGCCACTGTCAACCCAGATCCCAGTTCTCGACCCAGATACCCCTTCATCAACAACTACGGGTGAGAAACTATGAAGTGGCTATGTGATGTACTTGATTATGGCATAAAATGAACTATAAACATCCAGGATTTGTAAGATCAACCAGTTCTGTTTATGAATCTGTCTTGTTCCTGTATTTTCTAATTTTAAGGTGTTTCAATGATTCTAAGCTGACAGGATCCAAGTCTTACTTTTTACCACAGAACCAGCAGGATAAACTTCATTTCCAATTGGAAGCATTTAAATTCTACCAGGATGACAGGAATGCAGTGAGTAAAGCTAAAACCAGACGGTTCATGCTGTCAAAAAAATGTATTTTTCTGTTTTTAAAGATATTGCCAAAATCCCCACACTCCAACAGCTTAAATTAAAGCAACGTCTTTTTGGCTTGTGATATTGAAATAAAGTGAACACATTCCACATATGCAGCCAAAGCCGACTCGCACATTAATGGCCATTACTATTTGCTGAATCTCTTACAATAACAAAACTCACAAAAATATGTGCAGATTTAAAAAATCAATACCGGTAAAACTAAAATTGATCTGGTCTATAAATATCAGTCGGCCCATTAAGTTTTCCAATCAATTTTGGATTAATCTCTCAAATTTCAGTTTTTCCAAATAGAAAATGTTCTTATAATAAAGTAAACCCTTCCAAATGCCCCAGTGCTTCAAACAATAAATCCACAGAGGGCAATTTGGTAAAACAGGAGTTGAGCTGGTATCATGAGCAGCTCTTTATTTTTAATGTGTGAATAGCTTTTGTCTATGCCACTTAATGCACTTGCACAAAATAAATGTCTGGTCTCCCCCCCATAGCTCTACATCTCATGCCATCTGAAAGCGACAAAAGTTGATGCCCCTATTGACGGGCAGCACAAAGCCTGCTCCTACTTGACTGAAGCCAAAAGGTTGGTGCACACCGACGATTGTTACGCATGATGCACAAGTGTTCATCTTATGAGGTTCTTCCTGCAAAACACAACTCTAATGCCACTGAAGGCTCTTCTCGGCCTGTTTAACAAGGCACCTTTTCATCTTTGGACAGATGGGTGGCATCAGGTGGAGACAATAACGTGTGTCGCTGCTGTGAGAGCAGCTGCAGCAGCAGGCAGAGACAGAGAAGGAGCCTCGCAGCAAACGCTGGTACACTTTACCCAAGCAGTAACTCATGACACTTCTGGGCTGACTCTGAGCATATGACACGCATCCAGAGGGGGGGGGGGGGGGGGACCTTGATACACTCCACAGTGCTCTACAGTGTGTGTTGGTCTATTTGAAATGGCATTTCATTGTATAATTTTATCTGCTTGGTGTTTCTGATATTGATAGTCTAAAAGGACCTAAGATTATTTGTAGAATTTGTTTTACTATTATTTCAGGACCCAATTGTAAAATGTCTTAAAACCGACTGAAAAGTTCCACTTTGTTTTTAGATGGCTTTACTTGCCTTCATTTAGCCTATGCTGTAAATGTATTTGAGGATTGATTTCAGTTAATCCATTTTGATGGTTTAACCGATCAGTTGTGTCCTGCCATTTATTTATTTTCCTCCTCCCCTCTTCCCCTCCCATGTTTTTGCAGCACTGCAGTGGGAAGGGATGGCAGCTCCGGGTCCTATCCTGTTGGAAGACGGCATCCAAAACGAGGGGCTGACTGGGACGTCTGAGGTTCCAGAAGCAGGCCGCTGAGCTGGTAAAGAATGCAGTCAATTCTCTTCTCCCTCCCAGCAACTTTTCTGTTTATCCCCTTTTTTATTCTGTTGTAACCAATATTTGCTTTCGTGTGAAGTCAATGATGTTTGTCCTTTTCATGCTCCCTCCTCAGCCCCGTACCAACGAGAGCCCTGCTGTGTGGCGCAGGTGCAGCACTGTCTGTGGTGTTAGTTTTCATGAGCGCTGTCATTTGCAGCAGATTTCCAGAACCCACTGAGAATTCTGTTTGTACCTGGTTAAAGACAATAAAGCATTTATAACCAGGCTTTTTTTAGAATTGTATTTATCGCTCTCCTCTGAACAGAGCAAAAGGTTGTTTCACACATGTTGTTGACATAAGGCTGGAATCTGCCATCACCACACAGATTTAAATGTAGAGATTTATCTAAACTCGCCTATTAGTACTGATCACCCCCCATATAACGTTAAAGTCTTCACGTTCCACCTTTTCAAAGGACAAATTGTCTTTTGCTTCGTCAGTTATCGTTGATTCTGTTTTTTAAAGATTTCTACTGTGATGCCAAACTCAAGATTTAAGTGTGTATATAAAATTTAATGGTGGATCCATTTGGGGTTGGCCTTTTGTGCACAGCTGCTTTTGTGTATCTGCAGAAAGTGCGACGTGCATAAAGAGGGAAGTAACCAGCTTTGGCCTTCATTTGATTTGTCTGGTTAATCTTTTTTTCATTTTGGTAACCTGCAGCAAGTCTTCCAGCACTGCTGATCTGCCATGCAGTCCACCCAAGCCATTTGTTTCTGTTCCATCTTTATAATGAAAGACAAACCCTCAAAAGCTAAAATGGGGTAGGGAAAGAACAGAAAAAAACCCTCTGGCTCCACTCTGAGACGTGGATCATAAAGTACCAACCCAGTAACAATAGTCATATTATAGATTCAGGCCATTTTCAGCATCTCCCTGAATTCCCCCCCTCCAGCTTTGTGCTGGTAGTGAAGTATTCATGAAATGGGGCTCATCATGAACTGTTGCTCACAAGCCCAGGAAGACAAATAGACATAATTAAAAAGCCCATAAAGGCGAGAGCAGGGGCTTTTATTACAGTAATATGTGAAGGCCTTGGTTTAATGGGGTGTTTGTTCCTGTGTGCAGGGCTGACGGCTGTGCTGGTTTACTGCCAGAGCCATGCTGACCCCCTCCCATCCCTGCCCACACCAGAGGCTAATAAAAAGCCATACCTAATGATACGCCAGCAGGAAGTGTGACAGCGACTAGCACACAAAGGGATAGCCACAAATCTACAAGCCTCACCCTTAAAAAAGCCATCCAGGGTAGGTGGAAGAGATTCCACTCAGATAAAGAGGAAAAGGTAAGACCAAGAAATGACTGTCCATACGGTGCCGCGCACTTTAAAAGGGCTGGAAAGGATGCAAGTTTTTGAAAATCCTTTTACATTTCTCTGGAAATGTGAAGGAATGTCGGTGGGAAACTTCTGTGAGCAGTAGCCACAATACAAATGTCAAATGAACCTGTTTAAGCTATTTAGTGTTTATGGACATAATAATTTTAATATATGAAAAAGGAGAACCTGAATGTGGTCTCACAGAAATTTCCATTCAAAGACCTTTTTATGCTCACTGTGACATCCCGGGGGGCTCTCCTGACAATATTATGACATTAAGTCCCAAATGAATTGTCACCATTAAATTCATAAAGGGAACATTTTAGCAACCATTTACACATCTAGCACATGTAGTGGACACATCTTCTAATGGACAGGTTCTCTCAATGTCTCCTCCGTCTCTTGCTGAAAACATTTGGTTCCATAATTTGGTCCACAGCCCGAAAAAGTTAAGGGGAAACTAAGAGGTGACCCACAGTCACATAAGCGTTCCAGTACATATGAATTATAGCTATGTCACTGCTTAAACTAGAGCCCAAAGGATTTTGATGCTCTGTTTTCAAAGTAAATGCAGCATAACCTCGATGCCTATTTAACAGACACGAATAATTTAATTTGTTTTCCATTTTAAATAACCCGCCTGCAGCTCTAAGAGAAGTCAGCAGACTGTAAAAGGTGTTAATGTCTTGTTGGAGTTGCAGAGGGTAATCATCATCATCATCATCATCATAGTGGAGAAAGTTGCCAGCCCACAGATGTCAAACTGTTGTGGCAGCATGAACCCGAGTTGATGAGCAAAATGGCAGGGAGTCATGAATCAGCCGTTTTCAGGGACAGGATGTGCAACCTCAAGGGTGCAAACCCACACACACATTAGCACCAAGCATGCGCGCACTGGAGCCATCAGAAGTAATGGTGTGTGTCCAGCGGCAAGCAGAGAGAACCCTCTCATGTCTGGCAGATATCACTGCTGTAGATGGAGCGTGCTGGGGAATACTGTTCCACACCATTTGTATGCCGCAGACGTCCTCTCGTACACCACTCTGGTGGGAATGACAGGAGTTGGTGTTAATGCCAGACCTGTTGGTTGATACTTTTGACAACAAAGTACAACATGTGGATTCTTCCCTGAGACAAGCAAACCTCTTTTTTTCAGAGGGAGAGTGGATTTGTGTGCTTTTCCAGCACAACATGCGCATTATCAAAGTCCACATTTTTGAAAGCTGCGTTTTGAATAGATGCTGACATAAAATATCCTTTTTATTTGAATGTGAATGAATATTAGCGAATATTATTATTATTTCTCCGAACACACCACCTCAGTGCGTGTAGTCCGCAGAATGCACACACACAACACACACACGCTTCCCCTGTCCAGGCCAATAATTAACCCCCTTAATTAAGAGAGAAAAAAGTTACTAACTAAGGAAATGGATTTAATTAGCCTGATCTTAGCCCAGGAACATGTGCACGCCAGAAAACACACTACATGCACCCACATGCACGCACAAAACAATTAAGCTCCTTTTATCCCAGCTAATGGCTTCAGTGACTCAGAGCCTTTCTCATTAAGACTATCAATAATATGCTGATTACATGCATCCACAGGTCTGCTTTATCAGGGCACAATGGGACGAGTGTGCGTCTCTGAGCTTTCAAGGGTGGGGCGCTCTGCTCTGCGCGACCTTATCTGCTTAAAGAGACATTCAGATTGTTTGGCTGAAGAAGGTAAAAGGGGCTTCACTTTGCTGTGTCTTTATTCTCTGCATTTTATCTCATCAAAGGGGCTGTGCGTGTCTTTCAAAGAGAGGAAATGCCTATGAAGGTGTGTTGCTGAAGGCTTTATAGAGGCGAGATGACAGACTGAGCAGTAATGATGGCTGTAGATCTGTCTGCCCGCCTCAAATTGTCCCACTAAACCCTCATGGCTCCCGTTCAAATAAGTCCCCGACTGCCTATGAGACTCCTGATTTGTCATCTGTCTGTGTTGTTTAATCATATTATAAGTTCCAGTGTTGGGCATTTAGAGCAATCTGTTGGCGAAAATGCTATTTGATATTCTAGTATGTGGTCATTAGTTTTGAATCGAAAATAAGAATTTGTTATATTCTGATCATTTGTTTGCAGTTGAGTATTTTAGTCGGTAAAGGTTCTTAATCCGGTTTCCAAATCTGATATTTCTTACTTTTAAGTTTGTTTTGCCTTTCAATTTATTTTTTTTAAACTCATTTTGGGGAAATGGAATGTACAGCAATGACTTTGAGTGGTGGTAACACAAATGAGCACAGAAGTGGAGTGTATATAGCATGTTTGGTTAGTCAACAGCATCTATTTTGGGGGATTTGCTTTTATAGAAAATAAACTACAAACCCTGATAACAATGGAAAACTTTATATCTCAGTATACTTATGTGATTTATTAGGCTTATTTTATCTATGTGTATGAAGTGAAATGCTCATTGAAAGAAAGATGAACCGCTTCATACATGCTTCTTAATTGTTTTTTTCATTTACACATCACAGTGCCCTTTTTCACACTAGTTGCGGAGTTATGGATAGTTGTGTGTCCGACACAGAGATGGAAAAGTAAGATAGACAGGCATCTGTCACACAGACAGGAAGACAATAGGTCTGTGCTTTGACCTTCAGTCTCTTCCTGTTGTAACAGACTCTGGGGCCCCTCCCAGAGGAGGACAGAGGAAAGCAGTGGCCTGACCTGCAGGGCCACACCTTCACTCCCTTCCCATAAAGCATCCTCAAACATCTCCGACATGAGCTGCCACGCTCCCTCTGATCTCAGCAGTCTATTGTGAGATTTGTTTTTTGTCTAAGTTCTAAGGGTCTCTGGTGGCCACCTATTGAGTTGGCGGACAGACCTTTGCACAGTTCCCAGCCTGCTTTTTTCATCTCTTAACTGTATGTGAGACAATTGAGTCATACTGAATTGTGAGACAAGTAAGAATGAACTGATTTCCTGCATCCTGGGAATCGCTACACTGTAGATCTTGGCAGTAGGTAGCTGTAATGTTTGAGAAAAATAAGTTCACTTGATTTATTTGATACCGTCTTGGTTGTGTGTCACAAAAGCTTGTTTTTGGTATTAATCAAATGACGATCTTTTGTTCGAGTCAATTTTGCCCATCCACCGAAATATGTCGCACAAATGCAAAGTGTAAAATTAAGGAACCGAGAATTTCTTTTTAAAAAAGGGATCGGAAGTCCTCCCTGGTAGCTTTCATGTTTCTCAAAGTGTTTGGTATCTCAGGGCATCCACTACTCTAATTTAGAAAGTTAAATGCTTTCCCACTCTTCTTTATTAAATGATTCCAGCTCCCTTTTTAGAGTGATTAATTTTTAATGTTTTCCAGCATGAAAACATTTTGCACATTAGGCTGCAGCAGACCAGCCAAATTCACACGTATTTTTTTAATATCCTGGACCAGCAATACACACAGTATGGCGTTTGGCACTGTCTTGTTGAAATAAACAAAGCCTTCATACCGTCCCTGCTGCTGAATGTTGTGCTCATAGCAAACTGAATGATAACCGCCATGATTATGTTGTCAGTGGAATTTATCCACTTCACCTTTGTCATTGAACATTATGCTCATGGAGAAGGCAAACTTTATTTTCTTTCAGCATAGTAGATTTTAAACTTGGCGTTCCTGATTTCATGATCTGAAGTTCTTGGAAGTTTGCCGCCGTGCTTTAGCCTTGTCTCATTTCTCCAAATTTCCCAGATCGTTTGGTAATATTTCCCAGTGAATGTACTAGATGATCAGATTCCTGTGTTCTTTGCAAGTTTTCATTAACAAATTGTTATTGGCCAACAATCTCTGAGGAGTGAACACATCCTCATATTTGCTTCAGAAAGCCTCCTTTTGGAAAATGGTCACAGTTGAAGTAATACAGCCTAGATTAGATGGAAGTAAATCATTCTGCTATGTTTACCACACTAGACAGATTTATTACTCAGTTCAAACAAAAGGGATAATATGAACTTTAGACTTGCCAAAGGTTGTGAGCTTTATTCTAAACTTTTAAGTTTTCTAAAAATTCATTAATGATCCTTGAGGTTGTTAATGTGGATATTATTGACAGAAAAAACTGTAATACCATTAGAAATATTTTGTCTGGCTTCACATCTTTTTCATTCACTGAATAAACTGGGTCTACCCCCTCCACTTGCCTCGATCCTGCCAAATAACGGCCAGTTGACATGCTGATGTCGGCCTTGTACTTTTTTATGTGGGCTGCTGTTTTTAGCCCAGAGAGAGGCTCAGTTCTCACCTATCCAGGTCTGCATTGACAGAGTTAGAGCCTACTACATTGTGTACGCTTCCTGTCAGCTCTCACCCAGGTACTCTTCTGGCTCTTGAGCTAGGCTGGTGCTTATGGAGCTTGGGGCGTCCATGGCAAACAAGCTTACAGCCACTTCATAGCTTTGCCAAGAATTGATGCTGCTACCTTCTGCCTCAACCCAGTTTCAACTTTTCTTTAGCCTATAGCTTCCAGGCTCGGCTCACTTTCGAGTCTTGTTGAGTTGATAGTCTTTGTCTAACTAAAGTTGCATTTTGCATGTTGCTGAGATGTAAACAGAAAGTACATGATACATGAAGCTGATTCAGAGGAAATCCCAAAGAGCAGAGACATTTATTTGCTTAAAAACCTTTCTTCAGCTTTCCTTTCTGCTGCATGTACATTCAGCGCATAATTCCAACGGCTCTCAAAATGAAAAAGAAGCATTTCTTGGAGGTGAGTTCCTCCATCAGCTGTGCCTGCAGCACTGTACAGAACCCCTCTCAAGCACCCACCCTGTGAGAAGTATAGATCACCCTGCTGAGAAGCATCTGCACCAAAGTTA